AGATTTTGGACCATTGCGGTTTTGTTTTCATTTTTCTCCATGTAATTTTTATTCCTTGGTTGACCTGTTCATTGTTTATTAGCATGTTATTTATCCTCCATGTATTTGTGCTCTTTCCAGTTTTTTTCTTATGGTTCATTTCTAGTTTCATAGTGTTGTGGTCAGAAAAGATGCATGGTTTAAGTTCAGTCTTTTTGTATTTGTTGAGATTTGTTTTGTGGGTTGATATGTAATCTGTTCTGGAGAATGTTCCATGTGCACTTGAAAAGGATGTGTATTCTGCTGTTTTAGGATGGAATTTTCTGAATATATCTGTTAAATCCATCTAGTCTAGTGTGTCATTCAAAGCCAGTGTTTCCTTGTTGCTTTTCTATTTGGATCATCTGTCCATTGATGTAAGTGGGGTGTTAAAGTCCCCTTATTATTATATTACTACTGATTATTTCCTTTATGTTTGTTATTAACTGTTTTATGTATTTGGGTATTTCATGTTGGGTGCATAAATATTTACAATTGTTATATCTTCTTGTTGGATTGTCCCCTTTATTATTATGTCATGTCCTTCTTTGTCTCTTGTTACAGTCTTTGGACACCTGTGTGGTTCAATCAGTTAAGCATCCAACTTTTGATTTTGGCTCAGGTTATGATCTCACGGTTTTTGAGTTCAAGCCACGGTTTGGGCTCCACACTGACAACGCGGAGCATGCTTGGGATTCTCTCTCTCCCCTCTCTCTCTGCCCCTCCCCACCCTCTCTCTTTCAAACTAAATAAATAAACTTAAAAAAATTCTTTATGAAGTCTACAGTAAGTAGATGTAAGTATTGCTACCTCAGCTTTCTTTTGACATCCATATGCATGATAAATATTTCTCCATCCCTTCACTTTTCAGTATGCATGTGTCTTTAGGTCTAAAATGAGCCTCTTTTTAAAATTTTTAAAGTAAGCTCTACATCCAATGTGGGGCTTGAACTCATGACCCCAAAATCAAGAGTCATGTGCTCTACTGACAGAGCCAGCCAGGCACCCCTGAAATGAATCTCTTGTAGCCAGTATATATATGGGTCTTGTTTTTTAATCTATTCCATCACTCTGTGTCTTTTGATCAGAGCATTTAGTTCATGCTAATTATTGATAGGTTTGTATTTATTGCCATTTTGTTACTTGTTTTGGGGTTGTTTTTGTAGCTCTTCTCTGATCCTTTCCTCTGTTGTTCTCTTCTCTCACGGTTTGCTGGCTTTCTTTAGTGATATATTTACATTTCTTTTTCTTTAATTTTTGCATATCTATTATTGATTTTTGATTTGTGGTTACCATTATGTTATATATAATACCTACATATAGCATTCTGTATAATAAGTTGATGGTCACTTCAGTTTGAAACCATTCTTTACTCTTCTCCCCACATTTTAGGTATATGGTACCATACTTTACATCCTTTTATTTTTTTTATTCCTTGACTGATTTTTACATATATACTTATTTGTATTGCTTTTGTGCTTCCTACTTTTCTTACTGTTACTTACGGTCTTTTCACTTAAATAGAGTCCCCTTTAACATTTCTTGTAAGACTGGTTCAGTGGTCATGAACTGTTTTAGCTTTTTTTATCGGAGAAACTCTTTATCTCTCCTATTCTAAATGGTAGCCTTGCTGGGTAGAATATTCTTGGCTGCAGATTTTTTTCCTTTTAGCCCTTTGAATATATCATGCCGCTCCCTTCTGGCCTGCAAAGTTTCTGCAGAAAAATCTGATAGCGTTATGGGATTTCCTTGTATGTAACTGTCTTCTTTTCTTCTGCTGCTTTTATTTTTTCTTAATGTTTATTTGTTTATGAGAGAGAGAGGAGAGAGAGAGAGCATGTAAGCAGGGGAGGGGCAGAGAGAGAGGGAAACAGAGAATCCCAAGCAGGCTCCACACTGTCAGCGCAAAGTCCATTGCAGGGTTCAAACACATGAACCATGAGATCATGACCCGAGCTGAAATCAACAGTCAGACATTCAACCAACTGAGCCACCTAGGCACCTCTTTCTTGCTGCTTTTAAAATTCTCTCTTTACCACTACTTTTTGCCATATTTATTACTATGTTTCTTGATGTGGACCTCCTTGGGTTGATTTCATTGAGGGATCTCTGTGCCTCTTGGATCTGAATATCTGTTTTCTTGCCTAGATTAAGGAGGTTTTCAGCTATTATTTCTTTGAATAAGTTTTCTGTCCCCTCTTCTCTCTGTTCTTTTGGGATCCCCATAATGTGAATATTATTACCCTTGATGGAGCCACTGAGCTCCCTACATCTGTTTTCATTTTGCATATATTTTTCTCACCTGTATAGTTTTCCATTTCAAATAGTCTATTTTATCAATGCTTTCCTTTGTGGTTTGTATCTCTTATCTTCGTCAAATTGAATAAACAGAGCCATTTTTAAACAGTCAAATTTATAACTTTTACTGGGGCTTAGTAATGAAAGATTTGGATATTTGAGTTAAGTTTTGGATATTAAGGCATCTTTGGTTTAGCTTAAGGCATCTTTGTTGATATTCGTTTGCCAAAGTAGTCTATGCTTTTAGATGACTCATTGGTTTAAGTTATTACATAAGGATTTTTAAAAAGTCATCTTACTATTTTTACTTTTTGAGTGATGGCCTCTATTCTATTAATGCACAGTTATGCAAGTATGGAATAAACCTGGGGTTTATCCCTGATGTGCTTTTTGTTTTTAACATATGGTGACTTTTATTTTATTTATTATTTTTTAAGTTTATTTATTATTTTTTTAAGTAAACTCTATGTCCAACGTGGGGGCTCAAACTTATGATCCCAAGATCAAGAGTTGCATGCTCTACTGACTGAGCCCTATCCCTGATGTGCTTTTATCATTACAAAGAGCTCCCCTTTTTATCCAACACTCTCCTCATATATATTCTTCCTCTCCAATTCTGTCAGTGAATTTATTAACTTAAGACATTGTCCACATGTTACTGGATCCATTAACACTGTTTAAAAAGTCACTGCGGGGTCTAAAACTAAATGAATTCTGGTTTCAGGCAGGCACTATATTGGGGTGACCAACATTTAGAAATGTAATAAATTCCAGCCAGATACTACCAGAAACATTTTTCTAGATATGTCTCCTGAGGCAAGGCAAACAAAAGCCAAAATAAACTATTGGGACTACACCAGAATAAAAAAGAACCCATCAACACAGCAAAGGAATCCATCAACAAAATGAAAAGGTAAATACTGATTGGGAAAAGGTATTTGCAAATGATATATTTGATGAGGACTTTATATGCAAAATATATAAAGAACTTACACAATTCAACACACACAAAAAACAAATAATGCAATGAAAACATAGGCAAAAGACATGAACAGACATTTCTCTGAAGAAGACATACAAATAGCCAACAGACCCATGAAAATATGCTCAACATCACTCATAATCAAGGGAATACAAATCAAAATCACATTGAGATATCATCTCACATCTGGCAGAATGACTAGAACCAAAACTGTAAGAAATAATAAGTGTTGGTCAGGGTGTGGAGAAAAAAGGACCCTTGTGCACTGTTGGCAGGAAAATAAATTGGTGCGAGCACTGTGGAAACAGTATGGCAGGTCCAGGTTATCAAAAAATTAAAAACAGAAATACCATATGATCCAGTGATTCCACTATGAGTGTTTACCCAAAGAGAACTTAAACACTTAAATGGGTGATGGGTATTAAGGAGGACACTTGTTATGATGAGCACTGGGTGTTATATATATAAGTGATAAATCACTAAATTGTACTCCTGAAACCAATATTACACTATATGTTAACTAACTAGAATGTAAATAAAAGTTTGAAAAATAAATAATAAGAAATAAAACTAAAACACCAATTTGAAAAGGTATATGCACTCCTATGTTTATTGCAGCATTATTTACAATAATCAAGATATGGAAGCAACCTAAGTGTCCATCTGTAGGTAAACAAGTAAAGAAGATGTAGTATATACATACATATTTTGGAATATTACCATAAAAAAAGAATGAGATCTTGCCATTTGTGACAATAGGGATGACCTAGAGGGCATTATGCTAAGTGAAATGAGTCAGACAGAGAAAGAAGAATACCATATGATTTCACTTATATGCAGAATATAGCAACAAAAGAACAAATACAAAAAGCAGAAATAGACCCATAAATACAAGGAGATGGGCAAAAAGGAATGAAGGGGAATAGGAGGTACAGGTTTTCAGTTACAGAATAAATAAGTCACAGTGATGAAAGATACAGCACAGGGAATGTAATTAATGGTATTGTAATAGCATTGTATGGTGACAGATGGTAGCTACACTTGTGGTGAGCATTGAATAACACGTTGAGTTGTCAAATTACTATGTTGTACACCTAAAACTAGTGTAACATTGTGTGTCAACTATACCTCAATAAAAAAAATAAAATAATTCATCCTATTGAATTTAATTTTGGGCAAATAAAAAAGAAATGGAAAAAAAACAAAAAAAAAGCAGATTGACTGCAGTGCTTAGAAAACTGATTAAGATGTTATAAAGGCTTAACTTCATTCCAAAAATTTTTTTTGATGATAGCTCATAAATACTGGTATAATCCTGCTACCTGTTTTTTTTTTCTTTTCTTTTCTTTTCTTTTCTTTTCTTTTCTTTTCTTTTCTTTTCTTTTCTTTTCTTTTCTTTTCTTTTCCTTTCTTTCTTTTTTAAGTAATCGCTATATCCAGTGTGGGGCTTGAACTCATGACCCCAAGATCAAGAGTTGCATGCTCTACCAACTAAGCCAGGCAGGCACCCCATTGCTGGTATAATGCTGATTAAAATCTTTATATTCGGACAACCACTGAAGTCATAATAATGGGGTCACAATATCCTCCACATTAAAATGGAGGTGGGATCATTGAGAGCAATGAGAGTAATACATTTTTCTATCCAAAAGGATTGCAAAATAACTAGTTTTTTCCTTTCCTTTTTCTATTCGGGATGAAGGATCTTGAAACAGCCTATCGTATTACAGATATCCACGAAGCTTTGGCATTGTCTGAGGTGGGAAATGACAGGAAGATGTTCTTGTTTGGAACACAAGTGACTGAAAATGGCTCAGAAATACCCTCCGTCATGCAAGATGCCAAAGACTTGATTGCACACCTGGCTGCAGATATGCAGTGACCGAGCCTGGGCCCACTGTGCAGCTCTCAATCTAAATGTCACCAAGGAGTGTTAAGTGACAGGTTTGAAGCCACAGGTTTCCACTGTCGAATAAAAAATAAGCCACTTTCTATTTTCTCAGTGTGTGACATATATACAAAGATAATGTTAATTGATTAAGAGTGTCTCTGTGTTTAGATTTTGAACTTTAAAAATATTGGTAAAATAATATATTTGGGGGATTTGGATTTTTCCTCAACAAAATTAAAGTGAACATTAGTGAGCATTCAAACCATTTGTGGTTTTTCAATGACATGAGATTTATATGAAAATATTTTAATAAACTTCCTCTTTTCAAGGAAAAATCTAGGTGTCTTTTTTTAAGTAGATTAATTTAACACTGTAAGGAAAGAAATGTCAGGATAGGGCAGTAAGAAAAGTAAGCACTATCAAATTACATGGAAATATAAATTAACAACATTCAGAAAGATTTAGGAAATGCTTCTCTTTTAGGAGCCTGATATACTAGATGATGAACACTGTGAAGATTTTATTTCTATTTTATTATTTTTTAAGTTTATTTATTCATTTTGAGAGAGAGAATCCCAAGCAGGTTCTGCATGCTGTCAGTGCAGAACCTGACATCGGACTCCATCTCACAAACTGTGAGATCATGACCTGAGCTGAAACCAAGAGTTGGACACCCAGGTGCCCCAGAATTTGATTTTTAAATACTTGACGTTTTGCTTTTATATATAGGTAAGCTTTCTTCACCAGAAATATTTTGCAATAACTCTGTTTACCTACAAACATGATAAAAACCCAACTTTTGACTATAGTGTCTTGTCTTGATTTAACAAACAAAAAGATTTCAGTTTCCAGTCAGCATGTAAGAAGCTCAGAAGCCACCATTCCATTCTAACAATGAGTGAAAAGCTAAACACACTGACAAATCAAAAACTCTTCTAGGATCCATTAGAGAGATGAGGATACAGGGCAAATTGCTGCCCTTGAGATTGGAGAAACTGGTATGAAAATACAGAGAATAATAATTTATTGGAGCAGAGACTCATGAGTGGAAACTACCTGTGAGAACCAGTGCCAGGGTAGGAAAACCAGAACTATAACTGACAAATTGCTGGAGGCTCAGATGGACTGAGAGTTAAAAATTCAGGGTATCCAGTCATAGTGGGGTCCCTACAATTTTGTGACATTTATCTCCAGGAGCTTGATGAGATTCCCACAGCAAATATCAGAGAAAAATCTCCCAGTGCTTCCAGCGGAGGGAAAAAGGAACCACTTTAAAACGTACCAAAACACTCTATTTTTATGAATAAGGCCTGCCCTCAAGGGAAACTAGTTAACCAGACCCTAACCTCTGGAGTATTATCAAACCCTAACCTCAGGAAGAGAAATACTCAACTCCAGCCCATTCTAGCCATCTTGTCCCACATAAACAAAGAAAAAAACAAAGACACACATGTGAAATTCACAGTCCAGAGGTACAGGCTCACTAAAAGACTGAGACCAATCATAGGACTATAGAACACTTCTCCTTCCCCCGCCCCCAACTCACCACCACATCATTAAAGGTCTGTTTATAGCAGTTTCTTTTACTTAATTCATTATGCCTGCATATCAAGGAAAAATTACAAGACATACTATAAGGCAAAAAATATAGAAGAGACATCAACCATATTCAGCATCAGAACCACACTCAGATATGGCAGAGATGTTGAGATTATCAGAACAGGAATTTAAAACAATTATGATTAATGTGATTAATGTGCTAAGAGTACTAATAGCATACAAAATCAGATTGGCTACATAAGCAGAGATGAAAATTTTAAGAACCAACGAGAAATCCTAGAGATTAAAACAAAAACAACTACTGTAACTGAAATGAAGAATGTCTTTGAAGAGCTTATAAGTAGACTAGACACAGCTGAGCAAAGAATCTCTTGAATTTGAGGATATTTCAGTAGAAACCTCCAAAAATGAAAAGAAAAAAAAAGACAAAGAAAAAAAACAGAATATCCAGGTACTGTAGGAAAACTATAGAAGATGTAAAATGCATGTAATGGGAGTACCAGAAGGAGAAAAAAAAAAAAGGAGAAACATTTGAAACAATAATGACCGTGAGGATTTCCTGAATTAATGTTAGACAACAAACCACAGATCCCAGAAGCTCAAAGAACATAAATGCAAAAACACACACACAAAAAAAAAACAGCAAGAAAACAAAACCTACACATAGGCATATCATTTTTAAACTGCAGAGAATTAAAGATTAGAAAAAAATTCTGAAAAAAGCCAGAGGGGTAAAAAAAAACCACCTTACCTATAGCTGAACAAAGATAAAAATTACATCCAACTTCTCCTCAGAAATCATGCAAGTAAGAAGAGAGTGAAGTGACTATTTAAAGTGTTGAGAGGAAAAACACACCAACCTAGAATTCTGTACTCTGTGAAATTATCCTTCTAAAGTAAAGGAGAAAGACTTTCTCAGATGAATAAAAATCAAGGGAATTTGTTGCCAGTAGACCTGCCTTGCAAGAAATGTTAAAAGAAATTCTTTAGGGACGCCTGGGTGGCTCAGTAAGTTGAGTGTCCAACTCTTGATTTCAGCTGAGGTCATGATCTCACAGTCAACTCTCTACAAAGATATCACAAGTAATATGTATGCACTTAACAACAGTGTATCAAAATCCATGAGGCAAAACTTACAGAATTTCGGGGGCGCCTGGGTGGCACAGTAGGTTGAGCGTCTGACTTCAGCCAGGTCACGATCTCGCGGTCCGTGAGTTCGAGCCCCGCGTCGGGCTCTGGGCTGATGGCTCAGAGCCTGGAGCCTGTTTCCGATTCTGTGTCTCCCTCTCTCTCTGCCCCTCGCCCGTTCATGCTCTGTCTCTCTCTGTCCCAAAAATAAATAAATGTTGAAAAAAAAATTAAAAAAAAAAAACTTACAGAATTTCAAGGAAAACAATAGATGAATCTACTATTATAGTTGGAAACTTCAAAACCCTCTATCAGAAATAGACAGATCCAGCAGACAGAAAACCAATGAGGACACAGTTGATATAATGGATATCTTTTTGAAAAAAAATTTTTTTTAATCTTTATTTATTTTTGAGAGAGAGACAGAGTGTGAGCAGGGAAGGAACAGAGAGAGAAGGACACACGGAATCCAAAGCAGGCTCCAGCCCTGAGCTGTCAGCACAGAGCCAGACGCCGGGCTCGAACTCACAAACTGTGAGATCATGAACTGAGCCGAAGTCAGTCCCTCAACGAACTGAGCCACCCAGGTGCCCCAATATAATGGATATCTTTAGACTACTTCATCCAACAAAAGCAGCATACACATTCTTCTCAAGCTCACATGGAATATTCACCAAGGTAAACCACATTGTGGGCCATAAGTCACGCTTTAACAAACTTAAAAAAAATAAAAACCTTACAATATCTAGTGTCAGATCACAACAGAATTAAGCTAGAAATCAGTAATAGGAAGATAGCTGGAAAATCCCCACATACTTGGAGATTAAACAACACACTTCTAAATAACACATGGGTCAAAGAAGAATTCTCAAGAGAAATTTTAAAGTACTTTAAACTAAATGAAAATGAAAAAACAAATTATCAAAACTAGTGGGATGCAGCAAAAGTAGTACTTAGAGGGAGTTTTATTGAATTGGATGTATATATTAGAAAAGAAGAAAGATCTAACATTAATCATCTAAGTGTAAAATGCAAAACTATAAAACTCCGAGGCAAGGGAAACAAAAGCAAAAATGAACTATTGGGACCTCATCAACATAAAAAGCTTCTGCACAGTGAAGGAAACAATCAGCAAAACTACAAGGCAACTGACAGAATGGGAGAAGATATTTGCAAAAGACATATCAAATAAAAGGCTAGTATCCAAAATCTATAAACAACTTACCAAACTCAACACCCAA